TTTTGTTTTAATAAATGCACTTCCAGGGCAATATTTCTAACATACCTTGACTGATCTCCTTCAAAGTTACACATACATCACACATCATATAATACATGAGCACACACATGTTTCATGGTGTAATTCAGAATAATCGAACGGCGGTCATTTTATCTCAAAATATTCATAAAAATCGTGTTTGAAGATATTTCATTCACATATGTAATGTTTTTCTCAGATAAGATTCAAAATGAATGACAGATGACCATTTTGTTTTAACGAATGCCGTTCCAGAACCATATCTCTGACATGCCTGACATGACAATCTTATTCAACACAAAAATGCACAGATATACTGGTCCCAGTTTGTACCATGTCTGTTATATGAGTGGCAGTCATGATAGGTTGTAAATTGACACATTTAAATAGGTCATTGCTTTCTTAAGCAATTGCATGAAATTGTTCATGTCATAATCAACCTTTTTTTGTGATTCAAACAAATATTGTCGACTGGCCGCCGTTTTCTTTATTATGGTTTCCATGCCAGTTTCTCTTGAATGAAACTACATTTTCTGTTTAATATTACAACATAGATAGAATATCAAGGGATACATCTTTTGCAACGGCCAATTTGATGTAAAAGTGTTAAATCGTAGATCGGTCAATTTTAATCAAATTTGGTATAATGGACACACATATTACAAATACAGATGACTTTTTTGAGATTCGGCCAAATATGGTCGATTGGTGGTCATTTTCTATTTTATGATGTACATTTCAGTTCCTTTTGAAAGCAATGATCATCTTTGTTTAATCTTTATACAATAGAATACCAAGTGATACATCTGTGCCAACAAAAAGGCTAAACTATAATATAATATAATGACAAAAACAAATCGCCAACAATTCATCTTTTCTTAAACATATTTTAATTACATTTAAAACAAAATTGTGCGATGACATAGACATGCACCTCAAGTTGCTTTACTTTCACTGATCTGTGTTTCTTTGCTATGTCTTACGTTTAGCACATAAAGATAATATTCATGACGGGGACTGTGTCATGTAATGACTTGTAAATTTTTCATCAGTATTATGTTGTTCACCTTATTGATTCCCCAGCAAAGGATTATGGGTAAAGTATGATATCATAGTCATTGTTGAGGAAATGATGTCATTTATAACTTCAAAAGTAGGACTTCTAATTGGCGACCCTGGCTAAATATGCGCTGTTTTCGACATTTTCTAAAAATAATATCTCAAAACTAGAAGTATATCATTGTAAACTGATAACAGATTTCTCAAGGTAGAGTGAACCAAGTGAGTATTGATCACCAAATCCGGGAGGAGAATAACGCATTGGAGAGGAGCACTTGTAGCTAAGGTGTTTATTGCTCAACTGCTAGGCCTGGAACCGAGTCTAAATACTCACGAGATGTTCCATACAATGTATCAATATCATTATGCAAATAACTAAACTAAACGTCATAGCCTCAAGTCATTACAGTCATAAACTGTGGTTACGCAATTCACGCAGTTGCCCAGTGCGTGATGAAAAATGTAATTTACATGGTCCGCCCAGTTAATTGCCCAGTTAAGCTGCTATGATTTCATATGCTTACGCTGTATTATTATCTGCTTTGAGACGACTTATTGACACGCTTTATTCTACACCCAAAGAGGCCAATCGTGTTTTTTTTTTTAGTCTTGTGGCCATCTTTCTTTTTTTGAAACCTGGAACTAGGACTGTTTGACACGAGATTGAAATGTACATACGACAATAGAACATGGCTTTGTCAATAACAATCTTTAAAAAACATAAAACATTTCTTGGAAAGGGTGAAAACGATTACAAATGGAAATGAAATAAAGCGAGAAGGGGGAGGTCTCTTTTTAAAATACTTTTTTTCACGTGAAAACGTTTATTTAAACTCATTATGATACCAGTTATGAATAATTGGAGTCATCAAATAGTACAATAAAGACATTTCGTTTGTGCCATTGTGAAATTCTATTATTTTTATGGAGGAAAATGCAATATTTTTACGCAAAATGCAATATTCTACATAGTTTGTAATTTCATCCAGCTTCTTTCAGTCATAATTGAAGACAAATAAAAGGCAAACATGTCGAGAATATAAGAGATTATGTTTTGTCTTTAATAGTCACGAGTAATAATAAATACATTTCTCTATGAAATATTCACAAAATGTAATATACTTCTGAATTCACTTGTCAAAATCAGTAATTTTCAGGTTACCCCCTCCCGCTCAAAAATCAAAATCATTCCACAATGACGGAACGTAAAGTCTCTGTAGTTTTATTACATACTACTATTACGAAAAGTTACGGGCATAATGTTTACCATAGTTTGTTGTGGCTGTGTTTTCTAAAGTATATATCATATATGAACACATAATTCTAAATCGTTAGCGTAAACTTTGACCTCATACCACGTGACTAAAAGTAGCTTAGCCAAACTACATTAGAAACAGCGACAATAAATTGGACACGATTGCCACAATATTCTTCAATATAATATCAGCTTGAATCTACACTTTGGATCTATTTACATGACCTATATTTCTGTCCGCACTCGTACAATGACGCACGCTATTGTGCCGGCGCATTATCACCAAATTCAGTGTTGTATCTGCATGACACATATCCGTATCCGTGTTGGACCTGACAAGTCTGATACAACAACTGTCCAATGTAACTTTGACTTCATAACCAATGTGTGTATTATTATTATTAATAGTATTAATATTATTATTATTATTACACACTTACCTCCGAATGAAGCTGATCGCACATGTATTTTTTTTGTTCATAAGATCATGTATGTAAAACATGTGTCGTGGTCGTGTACGCCCAAACAATGCAAATCTGGAGAAGGGGCTGTTTTCCTCGTGTACAATAAAATATAGTTTCTTCTTCCTCGTCTTCTTATATTTACTGCTAAACTTATTTAGTGAACTCTGATCCCGGAGACTGTAAGTCTGCTACCTTAAAGTGCAGTGTGTTTCTGTGTTCTCTTTGTTTACCGCATTACTGTATTCGATGTGGTAATTGTAATAACTGTCACAGTAATCAATCTGGGTTCAAGACAGTGTTTTTTTCAGTTTGTTACAAAATTTGTTCTAAAGAATGGAATAGTTGTGTCCAGGCCCAGGTGTCAGGCTTAGTCACCGTTGAAAGCGAAATAAAGCAAACATATCTGACAATTTCATTATGGGATATAATAATACGCTTCAGTTGAACTTGATGGCAGAATAAACAGTCAATGTGGATGCAAAACACGGTATGGTTTATTGCTGGATAAACTGGCATAGAAACATGTAACACATGAATAAGGAGCCCCGAAACTCCGAAACTAGCCCTTTATATAGGTGCGTATCGAACGTGAGAGAAAACACGTAAGCGGGAAATACAAAATGTAAGTACGCGGGAGAAAAAGATACAATACAGAGTAAAATGATTGGCTGAAATTAAATGATTCTAATTGGTCGAGAATTACTCAGAGGAATCTTCATGCGAAAGGTAAACGAATTAACTATAGCGAAATGACATGTAATAATAATAGCAATATAAAAACGAATACAAATATATATTATGAATCTCCGACAAATGTTACAGTGTCGCAATGTAAACAATTCCATTTTTCCTGATCACTTTGTTGACACCTGTTGTAACAGATTTCTTTCCATTACATGGTTGAACAATTTGTATTATGCCTGGGGAATATTTTAGATCCTTTTAGAACGCAGATTTTGTTCTCAACACACAATGCACAATAGCTCAGTATGCGTCTCAGTAGTAATGTCCATCGAAACATCTTGAATCAAACACAAACAGCGACGTGGCGTGTCTTCTTCTGTAAACGTTAGAATATTAAAATGTAATATTATACACCTCAATAACGCACAAGTGAGGGCGCTTTATGGCGGACCTATACACATTCATATTGTAGGCGAAGCGGTTATGCGTGACGTCATTCTCAACTTTACTTGCAATGGCGATTAATACGCCCTCCTCGTAACGGCCGCCATATTTATTGTAGGGTTTGTTTCAAATTTTAATCCGTAATCATCCTCTTTGCCGGTGTCGAGAAATTGGTCTGACCAGTGTAAATCCTACGTTGAATTCTTTTTCTAATGGCCGATGCCGATAAATTGAACATAGACAGCATTATAGCTCGTCTTTTAGAAGGTAAGTTTGAATGACCTTTTGAAATTGTACAACGGATTCAGTTCGACATAGTTCATTTGACTGCGGAGTTTAACTTGTTTCGATGAGCCTGTGCTACAAGATGTTGTTATCTATAAACTATTGCATAGTTTAGCCGATTCTTTATTGTATTGCCGACTGGAAGTCGTGTCCTATTTGTCTGTATTTTTGTTTCTGTTTTTGAAAACGCTTTTGTTGCCAAGGTAGAGAGGAAACTACAAATAAGTCGCGAAACTTGACACGCCAAATTCAAAGCCGGAGGTTCTAGACCGGCCCCGAAAACCTTGTTTTGCTGTGTTATGTAGACAATTATTGTCGTTGTCATTTTCTCTATAGTCTGTGCATAAATAATCGCGTTGTTTTGAAGGTGAGGTCATTTTTAATGGCGAGAGAAACCCCAAAGCCGGAAGAGGTTTCTTTTGTTCAACGTTTAATGCAGTTTACAGAGAGTATATAACCCTGGAATAATGTTTGAACACTGTCGAGAAAGCTCCTTTCTATGTTATGTTGTGTGGTTTCATATATTTTTCATTCCATAATTTTAAATCGTCTTTGCTTAGAGGGATGTCGCCAGTGTTTTCAAAGCAAAACATGCAATGTTGTCTACTGCCGAGTTCGAATGACTGACAGGTCACATTAATCCACCCCCGGCCGGCATGTATACATCACGTGATCGCCATGGCCATGACATCGTCTATCTAGTTATTGATAATGTACATTATAAGCCCAAGAGTGTAAATAAATAATAATAAAAAATTGTTTTGATAAACAATGGAACTTGCTCAATCTATACTACCCAACTTACAACTATTCTGAGAATTATTTTGTAGTCAGTTGCCAAAATGGCTTGCAACTTTGCAAAACATTTTTAGTTTTTAGGGGATCTAGGCTTGATGGTTTGTTGACAGGTGCAGTTTTGCACTATTCTATTGTCATACTTAATGAGGTTAATTGCATTTTTTTTCAAAACAAGGCATGTTTGTTAGAATGCATAAACAGGTTATTTTGATGCCATAATATTACTCTAATTACATGCAATGTAGATGTGCAAGAAATGAGGACCAGTTATTGGAAATGTACACTGCATTTGCCAATCATTAATCACCCCTATCTGGTAGTCGCATGTCATGCCATCCCATCAGTCAAACAGCAAAACAATTTCCAAGTGTTTTGCAAAACGAGCTATAAAAGGAGGTCGTTGGTCCCAGGGATTGTTTACTTTAACTTTCCAAATGGTTAGGTGTTGTTTTTTTTTTTTTTTATTTAAATGAAACCTGTTAACATATATTCTTTTGAAATATGAACAAATGAATATTATAATTTGCAGTCGTGGAAATAAATATTTTGCACATAATGTTAGAAGCTTGTGATTATAAAATAACTATGGTATGTTGTGGGCAACAACGATAGTGTTTTGTACACCTACATATGCTATGCGGAATGGAAATGTACTAATATCAAAATACAATGCTATGTTCTTGAGAAAACTTTTTAACGAGTGCTGGGAATAAGCTTGATAAATGCTTAGGTTTGTTGTGATCATTATTTATGTTTTGATTCTTCAAACAAATTTACTGGTAGTTTTGCTATTCAACTTGGCACAGGTTCATGGCCCGCAGTTAAATTTTTATTCTAGTGGCAATGGGCAACAAAGTTAAAATTGTTGGTGGCCAACAGGAAAATTCAGTAGCTAAGTACAAAATTGTCCGCACCAGAATTTATTATGTTTTACAAATGGATAATAAATTCAACTGAATATGAACGTTTGTAAAAACTTGTAGCCCCACCTCTTGTTCTCGTAGTTAAGTTTCAGGCTTTGCAACTTCTCTCGAAGTGAATCAGTCGCCAAATGTCAGGGGGGACGTGCCTAAGCCATACACTGAATACCATAAAAACCTTGTAGTTGTAAAACTATTCTTTTTGCAAGTGTGTGAATTACTAGTATGCTAATGAAAACCATGATTTTTCATGAATAAAACATTTAATTGTAATTAACTCCCACTAGTACTGTAAATGCAATATTTATTCCGTGTCCTTGTTTTATGAACAAAAAAAAATATAAAATCGGATAGAAACATTTACGGGTTAGGGTTTTTTAATCAAAGACGGGTCTTTTGATATCTGCACTTGATAGGGAATTCTGTTAACAAATCCATCGTAACAATAACAAATCGCCGTTTTGGTACTTTTAACTAAAGGTGGTAGTAAAACCTGTCACAGTGCATCCTGTCATCACAGCATTTCAATTTTGACATTTATGTGAAAAGTACAAAGACTTGTTTAGATGAGTGCACTAGAGTATCTTTTTATTTGAAATAGAATTTCATGTGCAGTGCCCCTGTCTGTTTTGGATTAGTGTACATGACCTTGTAATAGAATTCAATGTCAAAAAGCTACTGTAAATACCTTATTTTAGCTGGAAATAATTTTCACTGAAAAGTCTTTTTGATTAATTTGTATGGAGTTTATTTTCACTGATTTTTGATGAATTGAATGTAAAATACAGGAAACAAGGTATTTTCACTGGATTTTATTTTCACTGACTCGTCCCTTCAGCAGAAAAAATGGCGAAAATAAAAGTATTTTACAGTATCCAGCGATTAGTTTGTGGCTATGCACTAAAACGTGTACATTTCAGTGATTTTTCAACATCTCCGAATAGTGGAGTGTCTGGTCATGGTGGAAGATAGTACATAAACATGGACAAACACTATACTTCATTTGTAGTAATCATGCATATATGGGTTCATTGCTTGTTCTGGATTTAAAAATTTATCATTGCATTGCATTACTAAAATGCAAGATCTGGTAATTTTCACCGACTCATCCCAGTGTTTACTTTGTTTCAAAATATTGAGTACTTACAGACTTTTGTCTATAGTCTAAACGTATTTATATTCTATGTGTAAAAATGTCTGGACTGCTGTAAAGACAATATTTTGAAAGAAAGTAGGTAATCAGTTGTAATCTGGTAACATTCAGAGCTATCTGAATGACAAAATCTAGGTGCTTTTTACTGTAATATGTGAATGTGTTTCAATGAGTCAACATTGTGATGGTACATTGGTTTCTGTCAACATCTATTGAGTCATTTCCCTTGGCTGTATTTTTAGTTTGATTATCCTACATGTATTTCAACCTTTGTGGCTGACTCATCTATGTATATAGAGGAAGATAATAGCTGTGAATGTGTAATAGCTGTGTTTGTTTATATTATGAAGGTCTGTTATTCGTGGCAGCAAGAACTAGAACTTGCTATGTTTGATTTACTCAATTTATTGTAATGAATGTGAATTGTATCATTAATGTTTCAATTAGTTGCCATTTATATGCAAATTAGCTGTGATTTTAGGTGCTGACTGTATATCATTCATAACATCTTCATGCTTTCATTGTTGTAGTTTCATACCATCAGAACACTGAAAGTTGGACAAAAACTGGTCACTGGACAAATGGTAAAAATTTGCATTTTTCCATTGGCTTCTATGGTGTAATTATTTCTTCATGTCTCAAAATTTTGTTTGAAGAGGTGGATAAAAAAGTATATTGTTGAAACAAATTCAAAAAAAATTGTTATTTCATTTACTGAGTTTTCCTCTGTGTAGCGAAATTTCCATTTTATTTAATGGAAAGTTCTTTCTTAGTGATCATTTACTCATGTTATTTAGCAGAAGCAATGTTCTAGCATCTCGGCTAATATTAATATCACTGTGAATTATAAACAAGCATTCTGGCAAACCTAGTGAAGAATGTGTGAACATAAAATGTCTACATATTTGCAGACCAGCAGAGTAATTGGCATCTGGCTGACTGCTTCTGTTGTGAACTCTGTGAAATTCCTTACAATTTAAATCCAAATACATATACCATTTGTATCTTACTCGTTTCCTCTACAACTGTAAATACAAATGCTTACTTGTAAAATGTTTTTTTCTCGTGGTTTACGCCATGAATTTGTGGGAAAAACAAATCCTGCAAGTGCACTGCATGATCTGTATCTATTTTAGGTCATGTTTCCATGCACGTTAGAGAATGAATTATTTTGCAATTACTATCTTGTGGAACAGCATTCAATTTCCGAGCATGGTTTTCACTTGAAGTGATAAGGTATTAAACATTGAGTAACGAATAATTGCCTGGAAGAGTGAAGACCTATTTATTTTTAGTGTGATGTAATTTACCCTTTGAGTATTCTCCGGTGAGGAAATGCAGTTTCATCAGCTAAACCCTGTTTTGAATTCAGTTCACATACAAATCTCAGACTGAGACTTGACAATTGAATCAAATAACATTCTATTATCATTTATTTATTTTCATAATGTCTGTAATGGCTGCAAGGTTTCATTACGCTCATCATTGTCTTGTGATAATGTACGTATGCCCACTTGTGTACTAAAAAAAATTGTCATTATTTCTGTCATCAAAGATGACAATTGCTTATTTCGAAAATTAAATCAGTGTTGACAGGTTTCTCAAATACTGATTTTCAAAAATACAATGCCATCCCTTGTTTATGCATTTTGTGGATTTGTAGAATTTTTGTTTCACTTTTGTATAATGCAGGTATTACTCTGATCGACCGGTTTAATGCCCAGGGTACTCGCCTCCAAAAATCTTGTGTTTTGTTGGGGGTTGGGTTACCTGAGCACCCCCGTCGGGGGGGAAAAGTGTGCAAATAACAATTTTAGCGAATATTACATTTTTGGGAGGAAATATAATTGCGAAATTAGTTGCGTCATTGGTTGAAACGGCACTTTTACAATGAAGAAACATAAATGATCACAATAATATGCACATTTTATTAAAATATTAAGTACCGCCAGATATAACAAGGTTAAAATTATTAGTCTGTTGGAACAGTCAAAGTTAAAATATTCATCATTATCTCCATTGATGACTGTATTCGATCATGCGCAAACTCTTGAGGAAAAGCATTTTCCACCATGTTTTGACCTGATAGGTCAAGTCTGTTATAAACCAATCAGAATACTGTATTGTGGGGTGAGGTGCTTAGCCGAATGTAAACCCCAAAATAGAAATGTCTCAAAAGTGGGGTGCTTAGCCGAGCGTATGGTTGTGTATGGTTTTTTTTGAAGGAAAAAAAAAATGAAAGTGAAATTTTGATTAGAGCATTGTCAATTTTCATGTGAATATTTTGTAGTGGATAAATAACAATTTTATTGTCAAATGTATACCCTTTGATCTTGCTTTATAAATGTACAAGTATCTGGTCTACTGAGATTGTTATTCTGTGAGAGACTAGTGTATAACAGCTGCAATCAATATGCAAATCAAATTCATTGTTTAAGTGGTCATTCAGTCTGGTTATGTAAATGTACGGTGGAATGTCGGGGAAATAAACAGAAATTTCACACCAAATTGACCACGCAGAGTAAATTTGTACCAAGAAAGAATTAAAAAAAATGCATTATTTCTAGTATAGATTTTTTATAACCTCAAAAATATTATGCCGAGCTAATCTCCTGTGCTGTGCTGTGCTGAATCTGTTTAGTTTTTACTGCTTTGAACTGGGAGAAACCAGAATTTATGGTATCCATGACAGTTGTGTTGGAAGTTTATTTTAATAATATTGTGCAGTTGTCCCGACATGCAACCCCTGTGGTCGATTGACTGGTAGAAAACCCTTTCAATCAAGTGCGCTGCAAATTTGTATGCATTTTTTGCCTCCATGATGTCTATATCCAGCTGTTATTTATTATCAGCACAGAATTTCATCTGTCCATCTCTATGGTAGTTTTGCTCAGATCTTTTTGTAATAGATATACTGTTTATGTGGGAAAACAAATTTATATCGAAATTTGACACCATCTTTATTTCTGGTCACTGTCAATCAAGTTAAATGTGTTGCCATGTTATCACTGGATACTTGTTTTGCCAAGGTGTGCTCTCTGGCTGTTATTTAGGATCATCACTTGACATGGGTTATATTAATGCATTCCTGAATTTCCTCAGTCCAGACTGTTAAAATGAATTAGTAAAACTTTATGGCATATACGATTCCCTGATAAATATTAATCCGTCCAAAGAAGGTCAACTCTTACAAGTTTCAAATTAGTTCTTGGCTATTTTAAGTGTCGTTTTCAGACTTGCAAATAACTCCTTCCACCATTTATCCAAGATTGTGGATATTGTACAGAAAGCTTATCAGTTTCACAAGACCGAAGTATTGATTCACCTACCAGGGTTCTCCCCAGAAAAAATGCATAGCGCCGGGGCTAATTTGCATAATAATTTGCATATCATTTACATATCTTTCCTTCATTGATTAACAGAACTTATTTACAATTATGAATATTAGTAAGCTCAGTAACAGGGCAAATATTTTTTTTTTATGGAATCAACACATTATGTTTCACAATTTAGAAGAGTTTGAAACATTCTCGAAATACAAATGCTACAGACTAAAAACAAACACAAATACATTATTGTTGCAATTTAATTGTTTTGTAAAACGTTGAAGGAAACGCATTCAAAACGTTAAGCCAGATTTATGTTCACGAATCTCATAATTTTATTCACTCC